ATATCTGAGATTAAGATGCGAAGAGCATGACTCTAAATATAAAAAGGTCAAGGGAGAGTCTCAAATATGGCAAAAGAGGAATAAAAGCAAGTAGTCATGGATATAAGTGCAAAAATCAGAAAGGAAAAAGTATGAATTGTTTCAATTGTGGTAAACCTGGTTACTTCTCATTCTACTAAGCCACATACAATATTTAACCACAACCATCCCTTTAACTTATACGCTAGTAGTTTTACTGAATTTGTTTCTTTTTAGACCATAGACTCAAGAGCAATCGATCACATAGCAAGGGATTGAACAACCTTTATGGAATTTCATCGAATTCCAAAAGAAAGTAGATATATATACATGAGGAATAATGCTTCTACTGTTGTGCTTGGGATCGATACCTGCAAACTGGATTTGTAGAGCGGTCACACATTTTATCTTTATCATGTACTCTACACTCTTGAAGTTCAATTAAATCTTGTGTTTGTTCTTGCTGTTATATTGTTTTTATTGGTTATTATGTGAAAATATATTTAGATAATATTTTTTATGATTTTGGTTTTATATTAAATAGTTTTATGATGTTAGACACCGTTAATATATCCATTAGAAATTATATTTTCATTTATATTGTTTCAAGTTCTAGCATTACCAATAAGAATGATATCATATCATAACTTGATAAACTATATTAGGACACATTGAGCAAGATTGATTACATAGATTAGCAAAAGCTGGTGTTTGCCAATAGTCACTATTTCAGGTGATATCTTATATACTATATTTTTCTACCTTAGAACATTGAGGATAATGTCTCATTTTGGTTGGGGGGCGAGGGTAGTAGTTGATATTTAAAAAAAAAATGTGTTTTTTATTTTATAAACCATTTGAAAACTGTTGTTACTAAGATGGCAAAGTAAGGAGGAATTTTATTGACTTTTGAAACGTATTTTAATAAATATTTTTCAATGGTTATTTACAATATTCAGAACAAGGTCTATCAAAATACATCTTAAAATATTCAGGTTTACAAACTCTCGTATTATTATTACTTAATTCTGCTTATATACTCATTTAATAAGTATTTTTAAACCTATATTTTCATACACACACTTTGACATATGATTGTGGGTTGCACATTGGATTATTATATTATTTATATTCTTTTGTTAAAGATAATAATTAAAAGAAAGGGATAGTATATACATTGTAAAACAAACAAATAAAAAAAATAATGATAATAAAAATATAGAAAAATTTGGTTTAATAACCACTCTAACTTAAGCAATTAAGCCCGAAGGGGTGTTTTAACACCTAACACCCTAAAATCAACTAATTTGGGAGCTATTGGCTCAATGCTTGTTATATAGGTTGAGAAAAAAAGCTTAATGGAATTAAACATTATATTATCTACATAACAATATCTGTAACCTGAGTTACTAAGCTCGTAGGGGTGTCTCAACACCTAATGTCCTAAGACCAATTGGTTTGAGAGTCATTAGCCGAAAGCTCATTATATGGGTTAGATGTAGTGTGTCTTTAAGTTATATGTATATTAATAAAAAAAAAGAATAATAATCTCAACCCAAGGAAGTTAACCTTAAACATTAGAACAAAAATTTTATTTTCTTCTAAGTAATGCCTCATAACTATGTGTTGATATATTAAGTACAAAAAAAAAATTATTAATATCTTGTTTAAGAGGTATTGAGCAAGTATATAATTTAATGAGAGTTTGTTTATCTGGATAGATGAATAGAAATTGAATGATGAATGCTTTGCTTTGTGGAATTTACAAATTTTTTATATTTTAACGCTTTGATTACTAAGGACTAGTATTAAGCTAGTTAGGGGTGTGATTAATACTTAAAAGTGTATTTTTATCAAGGTTTTATATCATCATTTTGCACTTGAAGTGTCAATAACTCTTTAACTAAAACATGTTTTATAATAATAAGTCTGATACCATAAGATATCTTTAATTTATGGTAAATGTTCATCATAAATGCAGGTTTATCACATAAATGAGAGGATTGATTGATGACTTGAAGTACTAAAATTGAAAAGACAAATAGAGGGTGAAGCTTAAAAAAGAGATGTTGGTTCAGTCCAAACTAGAACACTATTCAGTAATTGGATTATATCTAGAGCTGTAAAACTTGGATTTAGATTTGCTTTATATGGATAGAAAGTTAAGACATAGGCATAAAAATTTCATGTAAAGGCAAGACTCAATTTTGCTATTTGGAAGTCCAAATCTTAGTAACAACGTAAAAGTCTGAATCTATCTTGTACCCCATACACTGTTTAGCCCATATATCAAGTTTTAGAAGTCTAAATGACCTTAATTTTTTTTTCCTAGAAAGCAGAGACAATTTCTTAGAACTTTCATGAGGAAGGTTAGTTCAAATTCTAATGTTATCAATGATATTTTATTCAAACAAGAAGATAAGGATTGTCATCAAGTCAAGATGTGGTCACCCACTCAACAATATCATGTTCTTGCTCTTTTTCTTTATATTTTCATAATACTTAAATTTTGCTTTCATTAATATCTTGTTTATGTCTTCCATTTTATTTCCTTTACTTAGCTAACTTTTATCTTATTTATGTTCTTATCTTATTTATTTATGTTTCTCTCTTTCATTATGTTTAGCTAAGTTTATCATATTAAGGTGAAAAGGTTACACTAATGATGTAAGAGTAAGTATAGCGTAAACTCAACATAGACTTTAATGTTTGATACTAACATGTTTTATATTTGTTATCTTGTTCACTCGTAATACTTTGCTTGTTAAATGGTTAATCTAAATTTATGTTGTATAACACTTAGTACAACAAATACTTAGCACTTTCATAGCCCAATCGTATCATATAACCTACTCTCGTGCTATGAAAGAAACTTAATTTGTTGTTAATATAAGTTATAATTATGAATATCTGACAATATTTACAAGTATTAGCATTATTCGAATAAGATTACTAATGTAATCATGTTAATAACTTATAATGTGATTGGAATTTCCTTTGTGTGTGGTTTTCAATTGAGTAATAAAAAGAGTTTATATTATACGTGTTTGAAATACTATTAGTGGATCCTCTAATCTTGACATTTGTTGTTATCATTATTTAATTCTCATATTGATCTTCTATCTCAAAGTTATCATCAATTTTTTTTTCTTCTTCTTTTATTATTACTATTACTATTATTGTTGATGATATTGTTGTTGTATTGTCATTATTTAATTCTCATATTGATCTTCTATCTCAAAGTTCTCATCAATTTTTTCTTCTTCTTCTTTTATTATTACTATTACTATTATTGTTGATGATATTGTTGTTGTATTGTTATTATTTATAATTTATACAATTAACCTCTTTGTGGTTCGACCTCAGTCTTACCGGGTTATTTATTACTTCGACACTTCTGCACTTGGAAGAAGACATCAATTTTTTAGTCGTGTCACTTTTATTCACTGACTAAGAACATATCACTCGAATAAATTTAATATGATTTAGAATACTTGTAATTGTAATAATGAATTGAGTATGAAATTCTTGAGGGATTGAATTATATTTAGTCATGTGTAATTAAAAATGTTTGGGATATAATAGTACACTTTAAGATGTAACTAATTATGAGGTTGATATCTCTTATATGACTTGTATTAAGTTTATATATTGGAGCTTTTTTCAATGTATGCTTTAGGTTATATAGTCCATGCACCAAACATGAAATTTTTATGCAAGTTTAAACTATAATATTTTACATAGATCCGGTCTTTCATGAGCGAGTGAGAGATATTGGTTACTGAATTAGACCTAGTCCGCTCATAAAGGATGTGCTTGGCCTAAATATTTAGAAGAGTTACTAAATGAAGTGATCACTTCCTCTACTTATATATATAGAGACATCACCTATATGAAGACATAAGTTTTTACTTTGAAATAAAATAAGTATCTCTTTCTCTTTTTCTATCTTTAATTCTTTAAATTAACTTGATAAGATTTATAAAAGCATCCGTATTATAGAATATCTTTTTGATTTTAATAATTGAAGTATCATTGAGACAATTGATCTAGAAACAAGAAACTAAATTATCATATCACATTATTACTAGTAAATTTTCTTTAAATCTATAAAACTAATTATAAATAAATAAATATTTAAAAATAAATAAATCTTGTACATTATTAATGTTAATGTGTGAAGAGATAATTTTGGGTAGGAAATGTAATGGTAGAATTTATTTGATATATTATAATTTTAATGACATAATTAAATATGAAAAATGATTTATATTGCTATAATCAACTAAATGTTTATTTGAAAGTGTAATATAAGTTACTTTTAAAAAAAAAATTGCTTGAAAATATATTAAAATAATTTTTTTATTTTTAATATTAAAGGTTTTTTTACTTTAAAATACATCAAAATATTTTTTTTTATTTTTAAAATTTTATTTTTAATATCAACACACAATAAAAAAAATATAAAAAATTAATTAAAAACTAAAAAAATACAATTTTTAAGGTATCCACAATAACAAGCACCAATAAATTACATTATTATTATTATTATTAACACAACCTAATAAGATGTGTTTTTTTAATTTTATCTTTTTACTTTATAACTCTTTAAAATTTTGAAGGTATTTTAAAATATAATAGCATTTATTTTTTATTTTAAAATATATTAAAATAATATTTTTTTATTTATAAAAAAATATTTTTAATATTAATATATTAAAATGATATAAAAACACTAAAAAATTTCATTTAATATATATATTAAAAAAAAAAAGCTATTTTAAAAAACCACCCGACATGATGTAATCCGTCAAATCCTTCATGTGTTCACCTCACGGAAAAAGCGAGTAGCCCTCAACTTTTGTGTCTCCGAATAATTTTATGTGATTCGAAACATTAATTAGGAGGAGGACCCACACATTTCTTATTCAACGGCCACAAATTTGATCATCAACATGCACGGCTTTGCTTCCTCCTTCACCCACCGCCATAGTAGGATATCTCAACTCTATTACTACAAAAGAACTTGAGACTTGCTCCACCGGTCACCTAAACACTACACTGAGCTTCACTTAGCAAGACATACAGTCATAGGAGCTAGCGGCAGTTGCAGTTAGCAAGAAAGCAAGAAATCATGGGTTTCTCCATGGGCTTGAACTTAGTGCTTCTCCTAGCCATGGTGGCTACCAACATCCTTTCCCTCTACCATCTTTCCTCCACTCTTCAATCTCCCAAGCCCCCAACTCAACAAACAGTCCCTGACCACCTCCTCCACCAACTCAACACCATACGCGCCACCATCAGCCATCTCACGCGCCACAAGCCACCTTCCATTACCCCATCTCCCACCACTACCAAACCCTCCATCCCTCAAGATCTCCTCCTTTATTCACACCTCTCACCTATAGCTTCTTCTTGCCATAACCACCCTGATCTTCTACACAAGTACATGGCCTACACTCCTTATTCTCTTTGCCCTCTTGACTCTGATCTTCTTGCTGAATCTTTAATCCTTCATGGCTGCCACCCTCTCCCTCGGCGTCGATGCTTCTCCAAAACCCCACCAAAACCTCCCTCTTCTCTTCCTCGTAACCCTTTCCCTTCCTCGTTTCTCGACTCAAATGTAATCTGGAACAAGTATCCTTCTTGCAAGTCATTCTCTTGCCTTGCTAAGAAAAGCCCAGGTCTTGGCTTTGATCCAAACGCTGAGATCTCCAAGTTTATGACTTACAAGACTGAGTTGGATCTCCCAGTCCCACAGTTGCTACAAGTAGCAAAATCAGCCAATTCTGTTATTAGACTTGGTATTGATATTGGTGGTGCTACTGGTACTTTTGCAGCTAGAATGAAGCAGTACAATGTGACTGTTGTCACTACAACAATGAATTTCAATGTGCCCAATAATGAAGTGGTGGCAATGAGAGGCTTAGTGCCACTTCATGTGCCATTGCAGCAGAGGTTGCCGGTTTTTGATGGGGTGCTGGATCTGGTCAGATGTGCGCATGCAGTGAATAGGTGGATACCTTTGACAATGATGGAGTTTTTGTTTTATGATGTTGATAGAGTGTTGAGGGGCGGTGGGTATTTGTGGTTTGATCACTTCTTTTGTAAACGAATGGATCTTGATAAGGTTTTCGGACCTTTGATTGGGAAATTGGGTTACAAGAAGGTGAAGTGGGCAGTTGGGAATAAAACTGATTCTAGTGGCTTGAAGAACGAGGAGGTTTACTTGACTGCACTTTTGCAAAAGCCTGTGTCAAAATGAGGATCAGATATATCTCTTGAGGTAACTTGCTTAATGCTTGTTCGTTAAAAGGGCTTTCTTGAATAGTAGCTTTACTCTAGCTCCTTAGTTTATTAGGATGTGTGAAGATCTAGATAGTTAGGAATATCTAAAAGAGGATGCAGCCTGATTTCATTGCACTTGAATAATGCAGCTGTGTTTTGAGCTGAAAATTGGAAGCTAATAGGGATACCATTGTTGTTATATTTGTTTGAAATGAACTGGCCCATGGTGGAAGAATGGTTTGAGAATCCAATTTCCAAAAATGAATTTGATCAGTGAAGCCCTGAAATTCTTTTCTTCACCTATAGGATGTGTCTTGCTCGTAAAATCATCCCAGGGAGGAATTTGGCTTTTGCCAATATTGTGTTCAATTTGTTAAGATTTGGTTACGTCTTTCACAAATTGCTGCGTGACTTGCATAGAAAAAGCTCATAATTGGGTGTTGATTAAGATCCTTTACGCATTAGTCATGACAACCAACTAACAAGCAAATGTTTCACGGGGTGTTGATGAAGATCCTTTGCTCACTTCACTAGTCATGACAACCAACCAACTGGAAAATGTTTCACATAGAAAACTTTTCTATATACCCAATGTTTTGCTCCCTTCCTTCTTATGCATCCTGTGGATCCCATATGAATATGAAGAAGAGATCGTAGTGCACTGGATCTACTCAGTATTTTCCCTGTTGAATGTATCTAAAGTGCTGCTGCCATAAAATGACTTGCTTCTATCCTGTCGTTTTTTACCCTACTATTACAACCAATATTTGAACTTATGGAGACAATTCTACTTCAAATTTTTATTTTCCATCTGATATGCCTTTAGGGAATCACTTCAAATTCTTGTGAATGTAGCTGCGTGTCCATCATGGAGAATCAAAGGCATGATTTGAATTCTAATATGATGACACTGTAACAATAAGCCTCTGTTCAATTGCATGCATTGAATTCAGTACTACATTCAAATGTGAGAGAATATGAATAACTATTTTCATCATCATTTTTATTCAAACCATGCTGCTCTTGGTGAAACATCCTTGATCTTCTCAAAAGAAAAAAAAAACCGAGATGATCAACACTAAACTCTTTGCAATGATGGTCGTAAGAGTTGAGCATGTTGATATCTACATTTCTCTCCTTGCTACGCGATACCTATTTCACAATAAAATAATTATCTCCTAAAAATGCATTGCTTCCCTTAACCATAATTGATTTGGTTTTGGTCTTGAAGAGGCTTGCTTTTGGGGATGAGTTCATTTGAATTATGATGCATGACAAACGGACATACAGGAATGAAAAGCATATCAGGAGTGTTATGAGTTCATTAGAATTGTGTGCTTAAACAAAGGAAACCTTGTTTCATGCTCTTCAAGTCTGGTGTAAATGCAGGTCCAGATATTGAATCGAATTTGAGGCTGCTTGCAGAACATAAATTGCTTCATTCAATCATTTCTGTACAAACACACCATAGCTGTTTATGCTTTGTATATCCAAGTTTTTTTATAACAGTATTATTTCATTAACCAGTTATTGATTCAAATTGATTGGAAATTTTTTAATTAATGTTCTGTGGTTGGAAGTCTTGACCATGTTGCCTGGATTTGTGAATAAATGTTTTGCCTGTTCAGACTTCAGACTGTAAGTTGGGTCAGTTTATGTGATTTGTTCAGGTATCATTGTCAGATCTTGTTGATCAGGGGACACAACAGACAACCCTTTTCAAGGTTAGATCTCGTTTACATAGAGGATGCTGTTCTTTGCCTTAGCAATGAAGCAAACATGGTTATTGGCACTAATATGGATAAAGAGCAAAGGGGTGCCGAAATGCTGTAAAATAATAGAATGGAAAATGGGCATACTGATTCAGGAGGGTTATTAGCAAATTGCGGTGAACGTGGTGGATTTTGGTTTGTTTTTGGATTCGTTGTATGTTATATATATTCAGTTGAACTGTTCAGGAATGAATCAAGAGATCAAACATATCTTTTATGCTGGCAATCAAATCTATTATGGTAAAGTTATTGAAAAAAGGTGGCTGTGTGCATGTGGTATCCAAATCTTAAGAAAAAGAGCTTGGAATCCATACAGGCTGAAAAGCTAGGTTTGGAGCAATCAAAGGCAAGGCAAGAGGGTTCTGATTTCTGAGCTTGTCCCAATAATAGATCATGCGTGCAATAGATTGTTGCTGGTATTCCACATCAACTTGATTAAAGTAAATCTGAGATGTATTTATATATCCTAATTGGTATCGCAGGTCAGAGCAGGATGTTAAACAAAGAACCTCAAGCAAAAGCAAGAATAGAAAGAAACAAAAAACAAAAATCAAGATAGACAGCACAAAGAAATTTGAAGATTTATATGAACAAGGGGATCATGCTAATGACTCGACTGGAATAAATATCAACATGGAAAAGAAAAGAAAGAAGTGTGGACTTAAAAACTTATATATCATTTCATTCTTACGGAAGGAAATCATATAGCTACTTGTTTCTGAGATGCTATCCAGTGATTAAGGAGTTTTTGTCTCTTCAAGTTTCAATTTTGAAATCAACATCCAGAATATATACCATGTCGTTGAAAATGAGCTAGAAATGATTTAGGTCTAAGTTAACCTGACGATACTCTTGTTCGTTCTCGGGCAGAGGATCTTTGGCTTTTGGATCATTCAATCCTTGCCTCCTTCTTTGGAGCTTGAAGACTCGGCTCCTGTGAATTTCTAGAATGTTAGATTCTTTCGAGTGGACTGTGCAGATGAAATATGGGATTGGGATGTGATTTTGATGTTTGATAACGTTGTCTTTAAAACGTGTCAGTTAGTAATTGTTAAATGAAATGTTCTGTCCAGAAGCCATTGAACAGAGGATAGAGCTTGGAAATGTCACGTGCTAGGCACATGTCACTTAACCAAAATCATATAAAAACCTAACCTCGGTTAACGGGGAGGATCCAATTTTACCCTTGCTCTTGTTCAGATTGATTATGTTGAGCAGCTTTTTACAATTTGACTAAGGGCTGTTTGAATTTGTAGTTCCAAGCTGAAATGAATTCAAGTAATTTTTTATTTTTAAAAAATTATTTTTAAAATTAACATATCAAAACAATATAAAATATATATAAAAAAAAAATTTAGTAAATTTTTTTTTTATAAAAACCATAAATTGATCTGCATTTGAAAATGCTCTCTAAATAGTATAGGACCTCACATATTTTATTCAAAAAACAATAGGATGAAAATTAACTCCAAACCCCACTTAGAGTACCTTTTTGCATTTCAAAATTATTTTTGAAAAAATTTAATTTTTTATTTTCTTTACTTTAAATTATTATTTTTTATTTTTAGATTATTTTAATATACTAATATCATAAATATAATTTTTAAAAATAAAAAAATTATTTTAATATATCTTTTCCAAGTAAAATTTAGTAATTTACTTTAAAAACTAACCATTATCTTAGTATTAAACGCCTCCTTAACAAAAGCATCTTAATTGTACCTCCTATTTTGTTAGGAGACTTCGGACTAGTAGTACAGGAACACCCTTCTTTTCTTTTCTTTTTCCAGTTGGCGACACCTGCAGAAAATCAGCTTCCAATGGAGAGTGGACTTCAGTCATTTTATTAAAAAGCTTGATAGACTCAGCTTTCATAGTGTTTGGTATTATAGTTAAAATGTTTTTTTCTCATGAATGCATCAAAATAACCTTTTGCTGATAACCTTCCACCTTGTACTGCCCATTTTCCATTCTAACAATCTTCAAAACATTTTGTTTGCTGGCTCGTTATCCACATTAATGCCAGTTTGGGTGAGATAAAAGGCACAGAGATGACCTTGTAATGTCCCCACTAATTTCAGAGATGTCTCCACTTCCATGAGATGAGGCAGATGCAAGGCCAAGTCAGAAAAGTAACAAAGAAGTGGACTGAGACAAACAAGAATCTACACAGCAAAAAATGTCCAGTCCACGGTCTACAATGCAAGTGGAAATCAAAACCATGGAGCCATATAATCATCGCCATGAAGTTGGATTTCGGCTGGGTTTTGTGGTGGTGGTGGTGAATGGAAGGGGTTGCAAAACATTAAAAGAGAAGATCATATCGGAAAAATGGACACTTAAAGACATGCTTGCACAGCAAAAGCGCGATGAATCCCACTGACAAACCCTGAAGTTGCAAACCTCTTTTAAAACTCAGTTATCTTTATCTTTAAGATTGTGTATACAACTGCCACGATATATGTTTGCAAAACCTCGATGTCACCGGTTATGCAGAGCTAAATTCAGAACTTAAAATCTCTTAACAGAAAGCCAGAAAAAAAGGTTTTCCTAACATCTTCAGATAAGACTATTAACGAAAAACCTGAAGTCTCAGTTGTATTTACAACTCAAGCAGAAGCCTTCTTTCTCAGTAGGTGATGCAGGTTAAGCCCATTTATCTTAGCAGCAAGTATGAAGTCATTTTCCGTTAGTCCACCTGTGAAAGCATAGATCATGATTAGAACTCTATTTTGGCAACAAACAGGAATTTTTAAGAAAGAAGGCCTATGTGGGACCAGCTTCAGCACAACTTCTGATGATGTCTCCCACAGCGAGATTCTTTATTCAACTTTACTAGATTCTACCATCAGAAGTTCAGTGTCCAGTGTGGTTTGCCTGCTTGGGAGAAATTCAGATGCATCTTTGGGTGCATGTCAATCAGAAATATGACACAAATGACAAATCACTTTAATAAATGAGTTACTATTCTGCATAACCTTCTTCAGCTTTGTTCAGGCACCTAGTTTCAAGAGGAATTAAAAGCAGAAAATATAGCTCAACTCCTAGAAACTTGAAGAATGGCCCTTCCCCAATTGTACAAGCACTTCACTTCATAAGCACATAATACCCTCTCTCCCAATTCATATAACATCATTAGTTGAGAGATTGAGAAGGTAGAAATCTGGAAAAGCAATATATTCATATCTGTGCTCCATTTAATTTCGTGGCATACAATGTTACTAAAACTGCAACATAAAAGTAGCAGAGAAAGAGGCAGAGATAGAGATAGAATATTTCATTTAGAACATGAACTGTGTGATGAGAGACTAGAAAACATTGGATTCATCTCTTGCATGTAAATACGTAACAGAATAAATATGAAAAAAATAAGTCATGTGATTGACAAAAAGTTCTCACCCACTGCATGAGTCCATATCTCAATTGTTATATTGTTCCATCCAACCAGATGAAGATCCGGATGATGACCTGCAATGAAAATATATTGTTACTCATCTCTGTAAATAAAAACTAAAATTTTCATGTAAATATTAAACATTGGCATTTCATATATCAGTAACAGTGAAAGCCACCAGCAACAAGTACATACCTTCCGTTTCAGCAACGTTCCCTACAAGCTGGAACAGTTCCAGCCCTTTAGTAAAACTCTTTACTTTCCATGTACGATTCAGCTTTAGTGTACCATTTTCATTCACCAAATCCCACCCAGCAACCTAAGAAATATCACGTTGAAAAATAGGTTGCATAAAAATTAAACAAATGCACAAATCAAAAGGTAAACCTTCAACAGAAATTCTGTTGCACTTTCTTCAGTCATGGCTTGCAGATCCTTTGAGTTGCATGGCACACACTTCTTAGCAGCCAGATCTATCATGGCAAGCAAACTGTTTCAAAGAACAAGAATAACCCATATCCAAAATGCAAGCGGTTTGTGCAATAAAAAAAATGTCATTAGCATCAACAGCTTAGGGTTGCCAATAATAAACATCCATTTTCCCTACCCGCAACAAAGGCACCAGTGAAAAGAGCAATTCAAATCCGGAAGCATGATCCAGACAAAGCAATGGTGGACATACGACTAATAACAAAAAAGGTTTTTATAGTTACTTCACATATAAATGTTTGTTCACAGAGAGAGAGAGAGAGCTTAGGGTATATGTATATACACATACAACCAATATACATTTTCTCTTTCTGTTTCATTTCTGGTTCTAAGATTTGCTAAGGTTATGTAGAAGGCCACTTATTCAGTCAATCTATATGGACTTCTTAACAAGATTCATCATTTTAATGTCTTCGACCTGTTGTCAAAGTTGACCTGGTATATAAGTGATTTGAGTATAACAAAACAAATTTCTGTTGAGGCATTCATCGGACCAAATAGTTCAACCTCCCACATATAATGTAATAAATTAAATTAATAGATAATCAAGAAGGGGGGAAAAAGGTTGAAGGTAGCTTGCAAGAGATTTAAGAATTTTGCATCCTCTTAGGTCGCAAGCTTGAGCGACGGAATTCCACCCTTAACTATAGGCTTGGTTGAAAGAGAATTATTTTAATTCATTTCTTTTTTCCCGTTTTGTGAGATAAGCAGGTAGGAAAAAAATCCAAATAATAAAAAAAGGACAAATTAGCATAGGTTTGCATTTAACTCATGCAGTAAATTAGTCACAGTTCATCACGCACCTCTGCTAGCACAAAAAGTTCTAAATCTGTAAAACAGGTTCCTATTTGATGACTCTCCGACATGATTCCAACGTATCTTTTCCACTTGAGTACTGAAGCTGTACGCAAGAAATTTCTTCACACAATAAATTTATTTGGAAAAAAGGGTTGAGGAGAAACTATGTTTATTATTATATTTAAACCAAAGGAAAAATGACTAAAGAAACCCTCTATCTACATTTAAGATTGCTCGCTTGTTCTAGAAATTATATTTTATATCCTCGGTTTAATTGGTTTACATTTTGCATATATTTTTTACTAAAATTTATGCCATTAATAATCCCTAACAAATAAAAAAAGAATTTAAGATTCTCACAAAAACTGCAACTGATGTGATGGACAAGAGAATTTACACCAATCCCAATAAACAAGCTTTTCACATTTTCAGTACCCAATCAAGAAGCATCTCTCAAGGAACACCTCAAAGCATTAGACGTCACGCATTTTAGCTGAACACATGATTGATGTGAGGAGGCCTTTCCAGTTTGAGCACAGAACAAAAGTGCTTAAAGGACAACTTGATGTAAACCGAAATCGGCAATAAATTTATTACATACAATTGTTGTTGGGCTTGAACAATGTCAAACAGCAGCAGGAAGATGAGGCCGCTTCTCTCAGCAGTAGAGCTTCTAAAGGAATAAAAGATCGTTGCAAAATTCCTCACAAAATCTAAATACTGATCGTTCATTTCACTCATTATTCATGTCCATTTAAAGGCTTGCAGCAGAAACCCAAAAAAAAAGGGGCTACGATTAATTGTTACACATCGAAAGTAATTCAAGTCTGGCATAAACACAAACACTTATCAGATAACATAATCGATTAAGGTATTTAACACCATCTGTCCTAAAACGGCTCAGGAAAAATGAAGAGGGTAAAAATTAACAGAAAATAAACAATCGGGTCCTTCTTAGAAAGTCCAAAATCCAAGTAAGTAAGAGCAGAATGAAGAAAAAACAAAGAATCGAGGATGGATTACAGTACCGTCCATAGTGACCTCCGAACAGGATATGAGACAGAGTTGCTAATGGCACCTGAAAATGCATCGCCAGGAAGTTATTACTGAATGATAGAGAGAGATGGGGAAAAGAGAGGAAGCGTAACACACCTGAGGTTTACAGGAAGAGAAGTGCGTAAAAGGTAAGAGTATCTCCAATGCAGCATGTTATTTTGAAAAGCTAAATTAATAAAATAATATTTTAAATAGTATAAATATAATTTATCTTATTATATCTATTTCAATAAAAAAAAGTTATTTAACAAACCATTTGTATTAAAGTGAAAAAAACAAGTATTTTATTATTTTTTAATATATTTAATGTTATTTTTTTCCACATATTTATATTTAATTAGTCTATTTTTTTAATAGTCCCACTTTGTTGGTTTTGACTTTTTAAAAAAATACGTAGAAATAGCATTTATAAAAAAAAAAAAACATTTTAATATTTTATTTAAATTAAAATATTAATTTTTTATTTTTCACTATCCATTTGGCTTCTCCATTTGAGATGCTCTAAGAACCGAGTCGCCATAATTTATTCGTACAGCAAAAGCAAGCCTAGACGTAGCTCTCTGTGTTTTGCTATTATTGGAGGAGCTGTTTTTTTATTATTATTATTATTATTTCACCTTGGCACGGGACCCATCCGACGGAATTCTCCCGACCAAGCTATTAGCCGCTCCAGATTCTTGACATTTGTATAATTTCAAAGTGATTCGGTTAAAAAAAAGAAAAATTTATTTTCATAATTAAGAATGGAAGGGAGAGAAGGAAATGTAAGAGATTGGAAAAAGAAATTGAGATTGTGTTATATTATTCGATAGTATTTCTTTTTTTAATCAAAATATAATTAAGATTATTATATATTTGTTTAACATAATAAACACTTTACTTGATATTTTTAGGATTAACTTTTGTTAATTCAATTGCTATCAATAAAACAAATCTAAACATTAATCCCAAGTTAAAAGGAAAAAATACTATAAAAATTATATCAAAAAATTAGGTTGAGTGTTTTTCATGGGTATTAAATCATGAAATCAGGATAAAAAGCATGCAAAATTATGGTCTAGATCATAAGATCAGAATAAACTAATAGAAAAAAAATAAAGATAACCATTAAAATCAATTTTTTTATAAAAAAATAAAAATTTAAAATAATAAAATCATAAGAAAAATTTAAAAAAAAAATTCGCATTAACTTTACAAACTCATTATAGATGCCATTAGATCAAAAGCACCACAAATAAAAAAACTATGAAGTCATTCCCTAACAAATCAAAAGCCGAATGATGAAACCAAGAAAAAAGATCAATCAAATAAAAAAAATATAATTAAAATAATAAAAATCAAAATCAAAATAAATTAGAGGGCATAAAAAAATTCAATTTTAAAGGTTAAATTAGAAAGAAAAAAAATAGCTAAAGGAAAAAAAATAGCTAAATTGAAAAAAAATAAAATTACATAAACTTTAATTGAAAAAAAAGATTGAAAATCAATAAAATATTAACAAAAAGTCAAGGAAAAAAAGTCATAAGTGAAAAAAATAAGTATCAAATTAGAAAAAACAATAAACAATAAATTATAATTTAATTATTAAATTAAAAATATAAAAAATTATAAAAAGACCATCAATGAAAATAAATAATAAAAAAACATGAATAAAAAACCTAGAGGTAAACACATCATTTTACTATATAAAAAAAACTGGAAAAGATTAATTTACCTCTAGCAATCTTTTAAGGAATAATAAATTACTAAAAAAGACTAAATTACCTCTATAACCAAGGCTCAATTTTTTCTACTCAGGAATAAAATGATATATAGGCATCTAGTGAAAAACACACTACCGATATTTTTCCTATTGATTCACCCTTTGTCATGGGTCGGATTACTTTTTAAAAAAAATGTAAAAAATATATATTAAGAGCATATAGATAATTTTTTAATAATGACATTAAACCTGACCAAGTAGGTTAATTTTGAAATCTTGTGACTCATCTGCTTGTCTAACTCAAGTTTTCAATTAAACCACATGGGAGCTAACTCAACTTAAATCGATAGATTTCATAGGTCCAAATGTATCATTAATGATCGATAAAAACATAATTTAATTTTTAAAAAATCTTCAAGATGATAATTTTTTGCTAAATACTAAGATAATGATAGATTGGATCGATCTCAATCCCCTCATGACCTGGTTATGGACTCTATTAAATTTAATAATTTTTTATTTTTTATTTAATTATATGATAAAAATAAACACTCACAAAACAGAGAGCCAACCTAAAAATAAGCACTTATTTGAAATAATTATCTTCGTAGAAAGTAAAAAAAAAATCAATAATGTAATTTATTTCTCAATCAATCCAATATTAAATGATGAAATTGAAAAACAATAAATTAAAAATAATTTAAAAAACAAAAAAAAGCACATATCATATCGATAAGTAAACTCGTTAAATCTATGAATCAGGTAAGTTGGGCTAATATGTCAAACTTGTAATCTAAGTTATGGACTCCACTAAGATTATTTTTTTTCAAAACTATTTTTTAATTAACTATATGATAACAAAAAATAGATACTTGTGAAATCAACCATCAACCCAATACTGTGATGTTTTTTAGATCGCAATAACTTCATAAAAGACAAAATAAAACTAATTTTGAAATTAAATTCTCAATTAACCCAGTATTTAATGATAAAATAAAAAATAATAATTAAAAAGAATTTAAACTTACTAAACATGCGAACCAAGTTAGCTAGCCAAATATATAAATAGATCTATGAACTTTATAAAGTTTAATAACATAAATTTTCTTTGAAACTTTGTTTTTAACTATATATATATATATATATATATATATATAATAGATGATAAAAAATTCAAATTTAATAAACAAAATTCACCTCATCAAACTCGTAAACCAAAGCAACTTGGATTACCCCAACAGACCCACAAACCATGCTAACTTTATAGAAAAATAAACTAAAAGGAAAAAATAAAACTAAATTCTCAACTATCCTAATATTAAAAGATGAAATTGATAAATTTTTTTTTTAAAAATCATAACAAAAATTAAAAAAAAAACAAAACACTATGAATTACTATTGTCATTTATAGCGTAATGTGTATAAACAATGGTTTTTTCTCTTCATTTTTTTTTGTTATTTTATAAAGTTTAATAACATGAATTTTTTTTAAAACTGTTTTTTTTAACTATAGAAGAAAAAAATACATTATATAAAAAAATCAAATTCAATTAAAAAAATCAACCCACCACATTCATAAACTAGGACAACCTGAGTTACCTTGGTAAAAATATAAATCACGTTAACCTCATATAAAAGAAAAATAAAAAAGATGTAAATTATAAAATTAAATTCTTAACAATCTTAATATTAAAAAGATAAAATTGACAAAAATACATCTGATAAAAATTATAACAAAAATTCAAAAAGAAAAACTTTTTGAATTACTATTGTAATCCACGGTGTAATAAGTGTTGGATAAATAATAGTTTCATCATATCATTTAATTTTGTTACTTTAGAAAGTTTAATAAATGATTTTTTTCTAAAACTAATTTTTTAACTATATAAAAAAAATAAATATAAAAAATCAAGTTCAATTAAAAAAAATCCACCAAACCCATAAACAATGACAAATTGAATTATTTTGATAAACTCACAAATCAAGTTAATTATATAAAAATATAATATAACAATAAAAAATTACAAAACTAAATTTTTAACCATCATAATATTAAAAAATAAAATTAATAAAAATAATGATTTTTAAAAAAATTATAATAAAAAAACAAATAGAAAATATCATATATTCAAATAAAAATAAATAAATAAAACTAACATAAAAAATACTATATTAATCCATGATTTGTGAGGAAAGCTAATGCTTTCTTGAATGCTTTAGCTTTTTTAAAAAAATTAAATTAAAATTTTGTGTTCAAACAAAAATAAATAAATAAAAACTAATATAAAAAAAGTACTTATCAATCCACACGAATTTGAATGGATACAGTACTTCACCCGGTTTAGCTTTTCTTTTAATTTTAATTAGGCCATACTTAAGTGTCTCTCTGACCAGTCACCATAGCCTGCTTTACTACTACTTTCTCTCGCGAACGAACTGGGAGATCGGTTTTCCTTCGAAATTTTGCCAAACCACAACATGGTCAGTAACTGTGCTCTCTCTTTCTTTCTGAGCTATTACTTTCTTTAATACACATTCAATAATAGAGAAAATTTAGGGTTTCATTTACTATGTTAATTTCTTGTTAAAGATACACACATTTATGCTTGGCTATACATGGGTTGTGCTTAGTTTTTGTTGTTTTGAATCATTGATTTTGCATATGATCATTTCTTTATATTTGGTTTTGCCTATTGAAGCCTAATTGTGATTTAGAGTATTTTACTTTATAGAGATTTTTTTGGCTTGCATTGCTGCTAAATAGTGGAACACCCTGTTAGGGTTTTGGAACTTCTGGCATGGCATAACGTTGAATTACAAACTGAATTGGTGCATTTTGGGATCTGGGTTGTTTTGAGAATCTTCTTCTTAAAGTGCAATGTTGATTGTAGGAGCTGTGCCCTTGCGTAAAAAATATCCTTCTACTGGATTTTGAAGGGAAGCGTGTGGCTGCCAAGTATTTTTGTGATGACTGGCCAACCAATGGTGCCAAAGAAGCTTTTGAGAAAGCTGTGTTTAACAAGACTCAAAAGACTAATGCACGCTCGGAAGGTTAGCCATTTGTCTCCTGCTTCAACTACTCTTAAGGACTTTCTTTTTGCATGTTTGTAAGCGTTTAGTTCATGCCCTGGGATTATTTTCATTATGTATGAGTTCACCTTCTATGCTGCTTGTGTGGGGTTGGCTATCGCCCATGGCATTTCATATTCTTGCTGGTTAGATGAATGACAGAATAACATACCGTGGTCTTCCTGGTTTTTAATTTCACTGGCGCAATAAAAGTTCAGAAAAAGAAGCAACTTGTGTAATTTGATATTGGCAGTCATGGAGCATGATTGAGGTTTCTTCTTCCAGGGGCAATACATTCACATGTTTTGTGAAGTTCAGTTGTTTGTGGTTTACTGAATCCGTGGCATTGAGTTTCTTGACCCTTTTAGTAACAGTGGTGGGGGCAACACATTGAAATGTTTTGCAAAGTTCAGTTTGTTTGCAGATTACAGAATCGTGTTTGTGCGTCACTGCCATATTAATGAATTATGGTTATCACTACTGAGTGGCTCTACTCCATTTTCGTTTATCACAGCTTCTGTACTAATATCTTGTGACTTTGTCTACAGTTGAGGTAACAATGCTTGAGAACAACATTGTTGTTTACAAGTTTGTTCAAGATCTACACTTTTTTGTTACTGGAGGTGAAGAAGAAAATGAGGTCATCTTAGCCACAGTCCTTCAAGGGTTCTTTGATGCAGTTGGCCTTCTCCTTAGGTTTTTGCAATGCCACTGCTTACCTTGTTCTTCCATACATTTTTATGCTGTCAGTACATATTGCCACCCTTTCTGTTATTTAATTTCATATCCATTTTAATCATTCCTTGTTTCAGAGGCAATGTGGAGAAAAGAGAGGCACTTGAGTATCTAGATCTCATCCTGCTGTGCATTGATGAAATTGTTGATGGCGGGGATGCGATGCGGTCTTTTTATGCAAACGATTGGCTTAATTTTTTTTTGTCCTTTAGCTGATATGCAGTTTGTTTCTTCTTTGCTGTCATTATTTGAACATGTCCTTCAACTCACTGAACTCCTGAAAGGGAAACATTGGATCCGTGGATATCTACTTGTCATACTAAATTTGTGGAAATAATGTTAAAAAGAATCGGATCATTAATGATAGCCAAAGCTCCACTTTAGTTCTAAAGTTACCTCAGTTACATCCAGAAATGTTCTCAAACAATTTTGCTACGTATTTTTTACTCATTTACTTCAGAGGCTATCTCTTATCACCCAGAAATAACTCTTGACACGTCCTGATGCAGTATTATTTTGGAAACCGATGCAAATGTCATTGTGGGGAAGGTTGCAAGTCATAGTACAGTTGCTGAAGGATTGTCTGAGCAGGTATTGCTATTCCAGCGGACTTCCTTTCTTCCAACCTTGAATTTAGAAAAATTCAGAGTTCTCGGACAAATCAGTAATAGTTGCTACAGTATGTACTATAAACTTCTGCTTTCTTTGCAGACATTCTCACAAGCACTGGCAACTGCACGGGAACATCTAGCAAGGTCCCTTCTTAAGTGATAATTGCACCAGGCAAAAGGAGAGGAAAATTGAGGGTTCTTCTGTGTATATATTTACTTGCTTTGTAAGCACCAGTTTCTCTAGATAGTCCCTCCTTGATATAATCAACTCAATGGGCTTCCATAAGCTCGTCTGACTTGATCATATTTTGGTTTGTGTTGCTCAGACCTCTGTTTGGTCGAAACTATTCAAAGAAGGTATAATTTAGGCAAAGAGGAGCTTTTAAATTATAGAGTCTTGAATGAATGCATGTCACCTTTGCTCCGTTGTTGCAGCAAGTGATGCTTAACGGCAACGAGTGTTTTAACTGTTTCTCACTTCACATCACAGTTTACCCCGGTGTCTATATCTGGATAAATAAATCGCTTAGTTCTGAGCTTGATTTTTTTCGTTAATACGACCAACCTTCTAAACTCGAAGGCCCAAGTGGGTAATCTGCCAGCTATTGTTTAATTTAAGTCAATTTTCTGAGCAAGACTTGAAGTTGCTTCCTCGCATGGTCCAACCGCAGGTTAGCTAATGTCAGATTCCTGCTATGTAAGATGACCAGTATTCTTTAGCATCCTCGCGGGATAGAGAACTTTTGCATGTCTTTTTATAAAATAATCCGTGCCCATCATGCTGCAACTTGTTTCCTATTTACAAGCTTGCTCAGCTGGAACGACACCCAGGCTACAAAGATTTAGCAATGAAGCTTCCAAGCTTGCATGTGGTTGCAATTGCAGCCGGTCGTTGCTAAGAAATTAAAAAAAAAAAAACCCAAATTGAAGCCATTAGCTTTATTAGGCTTTTCAGAGGAACACACTGCATGAAAAGGTGGTAATCCAAATATAATTTTACCACAGCGACGACCTATATATAAATGAGGTCCAGCCCCAATTGTACTACACAATAGAATCATAGAAATATATTCAATAAGATCATTTTTACCCAGTAACAATGGTGATAAATGATGTAATGTCTTAATTAAAAAAAAAAAAAAACCTTACGAAGATATATATCTGATCCAAGGAATTAGCATAAGATCTCTGTTGAGCAGGAAGCATTGGTTGGTGCGTTTTTCTTCCATGACTTCGCTCAAATCTAATTTACTTTCTGTAACTGAATTACATAAACATAAGCATTTTACTTACTTTTCTCCTAACAAAAAAGTTAAGTCACCGATGACTTGGAGTCATTGTAACAATCACCTTGAATTAGCATAATGTCCTCATTGGATGAGAACATAATCCACATCGTCTGAGAAAATATCTCCAGAAGTTGGTGGCAAGTTATTCCGACGCATGGTTCTACGAACTTGGGCATGAGTCTCTGCCTCGTGCTGGAACATCTTTACTAATTCTTGCAGCTCCAACTTTTTTACTTCAACCTGCTGTTCGGTGACTGGCTTCTTCAGTCCAAGGTAAAGCAACCCAACAGCAATCAGCACCATTCCTAAGAAGAGGAGGATCCCAGTAAATAGAGCAAATGCATATGGTGTACCAGATGCTCCAGGGATCCCGTCAACATTGATCCCAAATAACCCAGTGATGATAGAAAGCACAAGACCACAGCCTCCAAAAACAGCCAGATTATGGGTTACACGAAGGCTTCTATCCTGCATAAGAGGAGAAAAGGAGAAAAGAAAAAAAACAAGGGATTTCTCAAATCAATCTAGGAAGAAATGAAGATATGATCATATCCCCCACAATCACATGCACACACCCTCCAAAACAAACCTGCAACCATGCCCGAACAGTGCTTTGTATAACATCTTGAATAGTAAACAAACGACCCCGAACAGCTTCTTGCTCCTCTATCATTTGTCTTGTACTCTTTCTTATTTCCTCTAGCAACATTCTTGCTGCATTTCCCCTCAAATGATGTAGAAGCTCGAAAACAATCTCCTCTCTTGCGTGGAGTGACCATTTCACTCTGATAACCTGCAAATGAATAGCCCCTGGTTTTGGTACTAAATGGAACAAACATGCATTCCCTTGGGAAGTGAGAAGTAAGAAAATATGCCAACTCCAAAACAATGGGATTTTGCTGGCAGATACTTTTATGGACCACCAGGTCTTAAAAGTGCCAACTGGATTTTATAATTGCCACGTTGCTGAGAAAAGAGAAGAAAACGCCCAGACCAAGGCAGTTTCAATGTCTGCATATCATCAGATCAAGGTTTGCTCATCAGAGCAGTGAGAATGACAAATGTCAGATTCTCATGAAATGGCAGAACAAGCACAAATGTACAATGCATATATACAAGCGATGAGACAGAAATCAGAATGTCTGTGCATAAAATAGTTTCAACAATTGGAGCTACCTGTCTTGACAACCTTCTGATTTCTTGGTTCAAGATAATACTGAAGAGACTCATATCTTCATAGTTTCTCCTGTTCATAGCAATTTATTGTAACAAAAATTATGTATGATATAGTAACAAATTTAAGTTTGGAAAAGTGCACGTGTCTTTTCAACCTGTTCACAAACTTCAGCTCAATCTCATCTGCTTCCCCAAATATAGATTTTCGAAACAGCCTAAAAAATTAAGAGATGAAAACAAAAACTTGAAGTTAGAAAAAGGAAAGGATACCTAATATACACTAATATCCATCATCTTCTCGGAACAAGTTATTTTTCTAAAGACAACACAGGAAAATACACGGGTGAATTGGTACAGAGAAGTGATTTGAAGACAGTTGTTTTGTAGTAGAAAGTAGGAACAGAAAGGAACACGTGACATGATACAGTTTTGCTGAAGTGCTAACGGTAAATAATTATTCTTTTAATCATGCATTTTCATTTTTCATCTGAAAAACAAGAGGGAATTAGTTTTGCTACAAAAAAATAGAGGCCAGGTTCTCAGATATATTGCATAGATGCCATTGGCCTGCAGATGGTGCATTTGTCGTCCGTCCAAAAGAAGGGAAGAAATCGAATGGACAAAAGCATGATTTGAATTAAAATAAGCCATGAATACGTAACATAGTTTAGTTTCAGTGGTTTCCATTACCTATCATCCCACCTAGACATCCGACTAGCTAGTTGTGCAATGACCTCATGCACTGTCCTTGGAGCATTATAGCCTCCAAGAAAAAGAAGTTCCTGACCAAATTGGGGCACCAAAGGGATGAATCAATAATCAAGTGACTTGAATACTTAATTAATAACACTTGTTTCAGTACTCTAGTCCACTTGAAAACTCCAAGTCATGAATAAACCTGAACTTCAGTGATACCCAAAACATTCACTCTAGACACATGCCCCTTTATGTGCAGTGCAGATACAAGAAAGTTTTGTGCATGCCAGGAGCGCAGCACAACAGGAATGTCATCCTCATCAACAAATGGATCACCAGCGGATTGTCCCAAGAGCTCAAACAGCAGACCTCCAGCAACCCTTACCGGGACCTAGATAGGAACACAAATCATGACAATTAATAATAATCAAGTAGACTGTCATGGAAGAAAAAGTAGGAATCTATTAAAACAATTTTATTATTATTATTTTACAAATTTTATTCAACTTCATATAAATATAATGAAATACGAATTCATGTAATCTGTCATGTACAGACATCTCTTGGATCCAACAATTTTCACTTTCTTCCCTTAAGCCAAGGACCCATTCTTCAACTTTACATGGATATACCAAACAAGTGAGATATGATAGGCTATAATTTACACTGCAGAGACACATAATTCATTACAGGTCACAATTTACAAAACAAGAAAACATAACACTGAACTTATCCAAGGATGAATCTCAGCAACTTTAACATAAGATGGATTATATGCCTAGGTGAGCACAAATACTACATTTTCCCTTGGAAATAGGCTGTATGTTCAACGTCTTCCCCATCCTACATTTGCATGATCGCATCTATTCAATTAAAGGGAAAACTCCCAGTTTTTATCTTGTTAAAGTGGTTTCTTCCTCAACCTCTGCAAATTGTAGAATGTAGACACCTGGCATAGACCATTGCTACCTGGGCATTCTATTTAAGGATTCAAATGTTAATTTAAAATATCTATCAACTAGACCTTTTATATGAACTCCTTTCCTAATAATTGCCATACATTTTCTGTCAGAAAAAACCACAAACAACAGTACAGAGGAGTTGAGCCTGGAACCTCCAAGTTTTTATCCAGCAGTTGCTCAATATACACAGGTCCACAAAGTTATGGTGATAGTGACTGTAACATGCTCAAAAAAGATAGATATTCATGCTAGAATTATATCATGAACATAAAAATTTAGAGAGATTAAAATAAGAGGAAAACATTACACTAAAGAAACAATGGGTTACTTCAGAAAAAGGAGAATGAGGAATGTGATGGTTCATTTTTCTCATAGCTTTTTACACAGTAATTCAAAGAAGGTAATATGACAGTCACGGTCACTTATGATAAACGTTTCAAATAGGCCAGTCACCAACAGTTTTCCACTACACAAACAATCCAGGCCCCCTTTTTTCATGCCACATAAATTGACCTTGGCTGAAGAAGCACAAAAGGGAGTTCAAGTATGTGAAGCACCATCCATCCATGTCAAATAACTTGAAATACAAAAGAAACTATGCACTACCTCATAAAGAAGGTGCTTCATCCGCTCACTGATGAGTCGACTTTCATCTCTCAAAGCTAAACTGATGGCAGGATGTAACCACTTAGCATTGTTGAGCCAGGCCTGGACAGAGGTGTGATCTGCGGCGACATGACACCACCATGTGGGGCCGGCTGGACGCTCCCAATAGGGAGCTGCTAAATCTGCGACAGTAGGACCGAGTTCATCATCCATCAACCCTACTTGCTGTGCTGGCCAGTCACCGTCAATTTGCACAGTCTGGACAAGCTGAGAAATCCTAGCCCAGCCAATGGGTATCCAACGGCCATCCTCAAGCCTGCCCTGTCTTGATGGGAGGATCTTCTTCTGAGCATCAGAAGAAGGGGCATTGCGATTAACAGACGACGATTCGAATAAATTGCAACTCTCCTGTCTCTCAGGCATTCCGTCATCCTTTGATAACTCACTACTAATTTTGTGTCTGGTGCTAAACATGTTGGAGGAAGAAGGAGTTGTGGATTTGGGGGTACGCCTCGGAGAGAATTCGAAGGCACAAATAAGTCCATCTGTCCAAACATCACTCCCAGGCATAACATCTCTTCCGCCGTTACTGGAAACCTTGCTGTTGTTTTCTGATTTCATGATCCCATGCACCGAAGAGGGATTCTCAATCATCATGCTG